AGATTTTTGTCGTTCTGCTCACTGTGCTCGTGTTTTGGGTGATAATTAAATGAGCCCAGACACTGTGAGACTGCACGGAACAGGCGTGGGGCAAGACATGTCTGTGCGCCTATCCGTGCCCAAGACCTAGACAGGCTTATTGTCCCCAGTGACGTCTCCGCTTCGTCTTTTTACGTAATTGAATCCAAAATGGCGGCGTCTGCAATGAGACACAAAAATAGCTTTCTGTTCTTTTTTTTCAGAACCCGGTCTCTTTGTTTGTTTGAGGCTTTTTGTTTTGTTTTGTTTTTGCTCGGGGTTTTTTCTAGGGCGCGAGGGGGGGTGCGGGGATTCAACGACTGTTACTCCCCTTTAGACGTGTCACGTACCGATAGTGCACAATGTTTGAAAGCCACAATGTTCCTGGTCAGTTGAGGTAGCTTATTACCTCACCCACATTTGAATCTCACGAAAAAAAAGCTAACATATTCTCTGTAAGGGGTACAATTTATCTGGTACTGTAGTCTGTATTGCCATGACGTCAGGTCTTTCAAAGTGTGCCCAGCTGATGTTTCGTCCCAGTGAGTGAAGTGCCGAGGGACAAGGTACTTTTAGAGCCGTTCTATCTTCTAGCTCTACGTTCATGGTGTGTTGCTGTAGTCAGAGTTTTGACACTTACTATACTCAAATAGGTCACGGTGAAGGCGATCGGAAATTGAACCACACGGGAAAATAGCAGACAAAAGCTTGAGATGATACATTCATGTAACTATCACGTGTGTATGTACAACTGGAAGGGGATTCTTGTGTATGATTTCCATTACATGAGTCGCACCTCCCACGAGCGTACTGTGGGTCTATTTGCACCCCCCCCCCCCTTTCCCCTTCCCCTTTAAACCAATTATGAGTTGGGGTTTCGGGAGTTCTCTCTGGAATTCACTATATTATCTGATGAAGTGGAGATTCAAAGCAGTGTCTAATGCTTATGATATTCTTTTGATTTGATATTTTAAAACTAAAAGCATCCAATTGACCAGAGTTTCCAACTCGACATATAAACAGCATTGTAGTTTGTGTCCACCAGTGTGTCTATCATACTGTCAGTCTTTTTACGTACAATAACGTGACTGCATTGTAACCCCTTTCCTCTCTCTCTCTCTCTCTCTCTCTCTCTCTCTCTCTCTCTCTCTCTCTCTCTATCTATCTATCTATCTATCTATCTATCTCTATCTCTCTCTCTCACACACACACACACTCTCTCCCTCTATCACTCTCTCTCTCTTTATCTATCTCCCTCTCTCTCTCACACTCTCTCTCACTCTCTCTTTCTCTATCTATCTCCCTCTCTCTCTCTCTTTCTTAATCTCTCTGTCTCTCTCTCTATCTGTCTATCTCTCTCTTTCTTACTCTCTCTCTTTCTTTCTTTCTCTCTCTCCCTCTCTCTCTCTCTCTCTCTCTCTCTCTCTCTCTCTCTTTCTCTTTCTCTCCCTCTCTCACTTTCTCTCTTAATTTTCCTCCACCACACCCACCCCCAATCGTGTTTCTGATTTATATAAAATATAATATCAAAATGGTTCAAAATGTGCCGTAACATTGCCTTTGATATTTTGCTGTTTGCACAAATGCGTCCACTACATCCTTGAAGACTTAATACAAGTTCCTGTTCTTCACCGTAGAGCCTGTATAGCACTCTGGGAAAAGGCTTCTTCTCTAAAAATTGCGACATGAAAATTCTATTATTTCCTAACAATGATGGTAGTTTTTTTAGATTATGTCTTAATGCCTGACAATTTTGCTTGACTTCCACTTTTTTTTTTTTTGGGGGGGGGGAATGAAAAAATGAGCGTCAAGCTCATTCAACCTTTATGAGAGGAAATTGAACCTGGACACCAAGTGGAAGTTGGGCTGGTGTTAGTTTTGTTTTTGTTTTGTTTGGGGGTTTTGGGGGGGGGGGAGGGTTTACCGCCACACGCTCCTCCTATGGTGGAGAATGAATAGCATTACATAACTTGCCCAACATTCTGTCCTTCTTATAGTTTTAAGAAACAGGTCGTACAAGAGTGTACACTCGAAACTCAAACTCCGCTGTGATTTTGATTATTTCTATTGATTTTATTCAAATTTACAAAATGGGAAAGTTTAAGTAACCTCCTTCAAAAATCGGAAATGGATATGAAGGGAGACACCAAGGTGGAGAGCGCAATTAGAATACAATCGCAATGCTGAGACGATTACTTTCATATTTCCTAAATTATAAAAGAAAATACTTGTGGTGGGTTCATGGGGAGGATAATATTTAGAACTAGACACTGCAATGTTGTTTGGATTTCTTGAAAAATAATCAATTGTTTAGCAATACACTATAAAGGAAGCTTTGATACAGGAGCCAACAAAGTTGCATCTCTCCTATCCAGCATTCTTCCTTGAATACAATCACTTTGTTTCCCGTTTGCCTTTCTGGGAGAGAGAGAGAAAGAGAGAGAGAGAGAGAGAGAGAGAGAGAGAGAGAGAGAGAGAGAGAGAGAGAGAACCCCAGGCTTTTTTATTGAGTCTTGTGGTTAACCTTTGAGTATTTATGTCCAGGAACCTTGACTTTCTTTCCCCTGACACTCTTGTCCGAACGTGAATCACGCCGTGACAGGAAGCTCACGGGACTGGATCTCTTTGCTGAGTCGGTATGAGAAGAGAGAAAGGGGAAGGGATTGGGACTGGATTTGGAGAGAGGGATACAAGAGAACGGGTGAACTGCTCACTGGCATATCAATTGGCCTCATGGAGAGTAGACCACAACTCATTGGCTCTTTGCCATCCCGCTATAGACGAAGAGAATAAATCTTTCTCAGGCGGTTGAAATTCTTAGGCGTTGGAGAATATTTACTATACCCTCTTTGACCTTGATTATCCATCTCTCGAACGGCATTTATCTATGTAACGTTGAAGATGACCCAGATAAAAGGTTCAAAAGGTCGAGATCGTTGTGCCCAGGGAACGAAGACAAAGAACAAATGGACAACGATCTTCACGAGATATACTTTCATTGTGGCTTGATTTTCGGCTATCCATGCTGACTCTCAAATCATATCAATGAGAACGTGGTTCTTGTATTGTTGTATGAGCCTTTGATCAGAATGTTAAATGCAACAAAAAATCATTATGATCTTCGTTCTTGTTTAGTTCTATGCCCAACGACAATCATCCTCAATGTTGGATGCATTTGATTTAAATAGGTGGCCTCTAGCAATTCCTTGAGAAAGATACCCCCCCCCCCCCCCCCTATTTTCTGTGATATTGGTTCGTATGTTTTTGTGTGCACCTGTACACTCATTGCTACTGAGACACAGTTACACTCTATTTTTTCTGTATTATTCTGTATCATGCAACGTGTATGTATGCGTGTGGGGGGGGGGGGGGGGG